AGTACAACAACCATTGATAATCTCCTACCACTTTTGTCTGTAACTCACTATTATTTGTCTATTTGTTTTCCTGAGAAACTATCTTGAAGATAACAGTATGTAAAACAACAACCACTGATAATTTCCTACCACTTTGTCTGTAATTCGGTAAGCCCCCTGTTACTATGTTATCCTTCTTTTACTTTTTAAAATAATTTAAAAAATAAATAAATAAAAACTAATAAGAAACAGGTGAAATTAATTTAACAATATATTTTAAATCAAATACATCCAAAATATTCCCAAACAACTAATATGCCAGTTCTTAATGAGGTCACACATGCACACACATGTCTAATTCTCATGTGTTTTGTGTTTCTAGAACATCTTCTTTGGACTAGCTGTGTTGCAAATGCTTGGTACCCACACATGGCTGCTGGCCTGTGTTGGACAGTGCAGGGCCAGAGTGAAGGGGCCATGGCCTGCTCCTTTGTCCTCAGAGCAGGGCACAGCACCTGGGGCATAGTAGGTGTTCTATAAACTCTTAATGAATAATATCATCTAACATTACCTCAACTTGTCATGCTCTAGAGGACATGAGAGGACACGACTTCACCTCAAAATCAATGTTTTGAACAATTTAAGTAACTGAAATTGTGTCATTTTCAAGAAGTAGACACACCAGTCAGCTTTTTGTTGAGCTGGTGTTTTCCCCCAGGATTGGAAAATCTCTCCCCAGAACCACCAGTACTCATTTTTTTTTTTTTACTTTTATTTGTTATCATCTATTTGTTTGTTTGATAAACATTTATTAACCTTAAGTGCCTCTCGTGGTAGCATTTAAAGGAAGGGGAGGTTGTGTAACAAAGATTCAATAGACCATCACCCTTTCTTAAAGGATCTCGATCTAAGACAGAACGAACATCACACACATGTATTGCAAGAAAAACACTGGAGAGATTGGATTCCAGGTGGAAAATCAGCTCTATAAAGCGATCTTGCAGAAACCACAGCAAGAAAATGGCAGGACCTCCCTTGAGGCAGAGAGGTGTTTCAAAATGGCAGGTGGGTGTGTGGCCATGGGTGAGTGCGGCCTGCTCTGGCCTCTCCCAGTCCTGGCCTTGAAGCACTGCCTGTTTCGTGCTGCAAAGAGCAGCGACAAGATAGTTATACTACTAGTTTTCTCTTAGTTCATTGAAAAGAAAGGTTTGTGCTAATATTGGAAAATTTTTTATGCCCATATCTTGTACTCTGAGTAACAACTATGAAGATAACGATATGCAATGTATTAACTATTGTTATTCTCCTATTATTTTGTTTTAAAATTTTGTCTTATTTTTTCCATAAAATAAAAATTTTTTTGAAAAGAATAACATTGACTTTTTAGGTCAATTTGGGAAAAAAGATAGTTTTGTGAAACAGAATCTTCTTATTCATGAACATAAAATATTCTTTTATTTGTCCTTTAACATCTAATAGTAATTTTCTCCTTTGAGGTTTCTCAAGTCTTTCGATTTTGATTTCTCTATGTGTACAAATGAAGAAATACATCATTAATGGTGTATATTTTGACATACATCATTAATGGTGTATATTTTATTAGAATGACATACATCATTAATGATGTATATTTTAATACACATTCTACCCATTGGTGGCCGGTTACTACAAATACAATTTATTTTGTATATTAAATGTCTGTGAAAGAACTGTAAAAAAAAGATTTTGATTGTTTGTTCAGCTATTTGAGGGCTGGGGAGAAAGTCAAGGATGAAATCCTGTTGGAGAAGGGAGGAGACGGGGCCGGCTAATCACAACACACACATCAGTCATTTGCCTTTCTCCGTCCCCAGCTACCGGCCCAGGACCGGGGGCCCAAGATCAAGCCTGGCAGCTTTTCCCAGTGCTCCCTGTTCTGATGCACTGAGCCAGTGTCACTTGGTGAGGGGCCACCAAAGGGTAGTGACCATGGTTTTATGCTGACCTAGGTCTCCAGCAGGCCCTTCCTTCTCCTTCCACACAGGATACTGGCACAGATGCGCCCCCATGGGCCAAAATAGTAAGCCCTGTAGGAAGTACTACACCTTCAGGAGAAAACCAACACACAGGACCACATGAATCCATCCAAAGAGTATTAGAACCTGTAGCCCAGCCACTTTGAGTTTTGTTGTTGTTGTTGTTGTTGTTGTTTGTTTTTTTGGTTTTTCTCTGGTACCGGGAATCGAACTCATGACCTCCTGCTTGCCAGGCAGGTGCTGTGCCACTGAGCTAAATCCCCAGCCCCTAGGCCAGCCACTTTAAATAAGCATGGAAAATAAGAAGAATCATAACATGAAAAAAAGTAGGAAATAGAGGCAACATCACATAGAAGTTTTAGGTGTGAAAGAGTAGCCAAAGCAAAAACCACAGTAATGGGATACATAGCACAAGAGATAAACTGAAAAGCAAATTAGTAGGTTGGAAGACTATTGAAAAACTGTCCCAGAATGAAAGATGAAAGAATAAAGAAACTGAAAGACCAGGACAGGTGACTTGAGACATACCCAAATAAGGGTCATATGAGTTCCAAATAAGTAAGAGAAAAAGTTAAAGAATGAAAAAAGATCAATTGCCAGGAAAAAAAACCCCAAGAAGATGCATCATAAAATAAAGTCCTTATCTTATCATGTGGGTAAGTCTTAAGTTAATAACAAAAATGTGTATTTTTAAAAAGAACCTCCATGTACTTGGAAATAAAAGCATGGAACATCTAATTGTTAAAAAAAAAATAATTCCACAGTTTGCATGACTAGTATCTCTTTGTCCAATGACTCCAGCTCCTCCCACCTTAAGAAGAGATGAAGTTAGTGAGGCACCTAACCCAGGCAGGGCTGAAGCGGCGAAGAGATTCATCCATCCATCCATCCATCCATCCACCCGTTCATTCATGTGTGCATGCACAAATATCTACTGAGCTCCCAGTATGTGCAAGGTGTTATTTTGGCACTGGGACATTGAAACAAGAGCTGAATCTAGGCAACTCATTACTGTGCCCTCCAAATCCACAACTAGCTGTGCTTTAGTTAATTCGAAGTCAGAAGCTGTGGGCTGCTCCTCTCAGTGCAGAAATCCCTTATCCCATGAGGGAAGAGCATCGCACAAACCTGATAGGAAGGGAGGGTGCAGGCTGCCTTGGAACCGTCAGGGGCTGCTCAAAGCACAGCCCCTGCCCTCCCTGCAGAGGGGCTGATCCCATGCATCACAGCAGGGGACCCAGAGATCTGTGCTTTATGAATTGCAAATAAATTGAATTAAGATATGGATTTTAAGCTTTATTTTTATTGATAATAACTGTACATTTTTATGGGGTACAATGTGATGTTTCGATACATGTATACAGTATATGATGATCAAATCAGAGTAACTGATCAACCCCATCATTCACCTTCAACATTTGCCATCTATGTTGAGAACATTCAGAATCTTTTCTATTAGCTATTTGGAAATATACAATTAACTGCTGCTGTCCTACGGTGCTGTCAACCATGAGGAGATACGAGTTCCTGCTGGACAAGTGCACCCCAGTTCTTGTTAACCCCTCTGTCCATCTCCCCTCCTGCGTCCTTCGCAGTCCAGGGTAACTATCAGTCTACTGTCTACTTCTACAGCGTCAAGGATTCAAGCTTCCACATTCGAGTGAGAACGCGTGGTGTGTCTTTCACAGGCCTGACTTACTCCTCTTCACCTCCTCCAGGCCCCTTCACGTTGCCTCCAGTGACAGGATTTCATTCTTTTTATGGCTGAATAATATTCCACTTTATATGCCACATTTTCTTTCTTCATTTATCCATTAATGGACAAGAGTTCATATTTCATACTTAACAAATGTATCAATAATTAAATAATTTATTGGATCAATTTATTTATTACTTTATTAATAGTATTTTACTAACAGATTTATTAATAAATTTAAATATATTAAATGAAAAATTATTATTAAAATAATATATTTATTACTTTGTGAATGTTTATTAAATATTTTATATATTTAGCAAATTCCTCAGGTAATCCTCACATGCAGCCAAGTTTAGAACCATGGACCCCAGTGATTCCTCAGATCCCTTCCAGGTTGAAAGTCACTTATTTCAGGATCTTTGGCAAATGGCCTTCGGAGATCTGATTAAACTTCTCTTTACCTGGGTAGACAGCTCTATTTTTTTATACGTCTCTAAATTCTTCCACAGCCTCCCATTGGTAGAAACCAAGCAGAGGCAAAGTCCCCAGGGGCGCGGGCCTCAGTCACCTCGGCAGCACGGAGCAGGGTGCCGAGGAACCAGGCGGCACAAGCGGAGATGGCCAGGTCCCCGCCCTCTTCACTCCCGTCCGTGGAGCGCCTGGCAGCTCTTCAGACTAAGCATCTCCACAATTGTGCAGTCATTCTTTTCTAATGAAATAAAACAATGTTTTTGAAAACAACTTAAAGTTCTAAAGGATTTTTTTATTCTACTACATACCCAATATTTCCCTTTTACAGTTTCTTAGTAACTTCAGGTTTTCAGCTATAAACTTGTCTGAGGAAACTTACAGGGAAGGTGGGATTCCCTACCGGACGGGTCAGGTGCAGGATTTGTCCCAGCCCAGCTGGGCGGTGCCCCCAGGCCTTCCCTCTCCCTCCTGCGGCCCCTTCTGGGCGGAAGCCTCTCAGCCCCCAGGCGGAAACGCCCTCTCAGCTCCCCTGCGGACCACGCCTCCCAGCACAGCAGGCCCAGAGTTCCTGCACCTTCCCACCCCGGCTCTCCGCTCCGTTACCCAGCAACAGCTGCATAATCTCAGAGAACTGCTGTGATTGGCTGCATACAGCAAGGGTCTCTCCCTGGCCCAGAATCTGTTTCTCTGTACCTGTTTTCTTCCTTTGCTCCCACAAAGACTGAGACTTGCTGGGTTAGCGCCCCCGAGGCCGATGGCCGGCCCTGCAGGCCTGGTCCTGGGACTCCTCACCTTGATGACTCTCCGGAGTCCCCGCGGAGCAGGGGCCATCCAAGGTGAGTGCTGCGGGCCGCTGGGGGAGGACAGGCCACTTCAGGAGGCGGCAGGGGATGCGTATCCTTCCCTCCCTTCTCTGGTTTACGGTCGGCTTCCTCCTCTGAAGGCCCGGGTCGCTCTCATATCTTTCGCATCCATTCTGGGCCAAAACACAGGTGCCGCACAGCCCAGCCACGCGGGTTTCTCGGGTGGGTTTTTTTTCATGTGCACTTTGCTCCCCATTCCTTCCCAAACCCGAGTCCAGCCCAGCACCCTGGTTTCTCCTGGGCTTCCTGGCGTGGACCGAGCCCACTGCAGTGCTTAGGACTGTGTAGCTGAGAGCCCCTGCGGGGGCGTCCACGGCTGGCTCCCCCTTCTCCTCTTTCCTCATCTTTCTTCCATTTCCTGGCACGGTTCTGGGCGCCCGGTAGTCCCTCCGCGTTGAACAAGTAACTGCAGCAGCTCCAAAGGCGCCTTTCCAGCCCAAACCCAACCCCAGCTTCCAGGAAACCCAGCATTCAGCTATGGGGAAGGCACGTTCAGTCATCGCGCTCTGAGCTGGGACACGAACCTTGCACCCCTCACCTCTTGGTCCGGGGCTCTTTGCGATGCGTTTCACTCCCCGCCTAGCTCTGGGAACCCGAGCACCGGCTTAGCCCCTGCTCGGCCTGCTCAGCCACGCTGTACCCTTGCTTGTGCGGGTCACCTGCCTGGGCATGGCCTTGTTCCCTCCGGCCTCTCCTTCCCTCCCTCCGCAGCCCTCTGCTGTCCACGGACCGCTCGGTGTCAGGACACTGTCCCCCCACCACCCAGTGGGGCCAGGCTGAGACTGATTCCTTCTCTCCTCGGCCCCCCTCACCCTCTACAGCCGACCACATGGGCTCCTATGGCCCTGCCTTCTACCAGTCTTACGATGCCTCAGGCCAGTTCACCTACGAATTTGACGGGGAGCAACTGTTCTCCGTGGACCTGAAGAACAGGGAGGTCGTGTGGCGCCTGCCTGAGTTTGGCGACTTCACACGCTTTGACCTGCAGAATGGGCTGCTCAGCATCGCCAGGATCCGAGCCCACCTGGGCGTCTTGGTGGAACGCTCCAATCGCACCAGAGCCGCCAGCGGTACCTGAGCCTCCCTGCACCCCTCCCAGCCAGGCAGGGGAGCCCAGAGGAGTCCCTCCCCTCCTCTGTGCCCCGCAACCCTCCCCAGCCCCGGCAGTCCTCTCTCAGCCCCTTCCTCCAGTCTCTAGGTTTTCCCAGGCCCCTCAACATCCTATTCCTTCTTGAGCTGAAAACCCCCCCAGGCTGGGATGGTGTGTCGCCACTTCCTCCCCAAACTCCTCTCCCTTCCGCCCTGCCCTGTCCCAGCAGCGCCCCCTGCAGGCAGATGGCTAAACGGGAGGAGGTGTCCTTAATCCTGGCCCTGTTATGCGGGAGGAAGGAGCCTTTGGGACTCAGACCCTTGGTCCTTTCAGTGCCTCCCAGGGTGACCGTATTCCCCAAGTCCCCAGTGGAGCCGGGCAAACCCAACATTCTGATCTGCATGGTGGACAACATCTTCCCCCCTGTGATCCGTGTCACCTGGCTACGCAATGGTCACACCGTCTCTGAGGGGGTGGCCCAGACCAGCTTCTACTCCCAGCCTGATCACTCGTTCTGCAAGTTCCACTACCTGACCTTTGTGCCGCGGGCCGACGACGTCTACGACTGCAAGGTGGAGCACTGGGGCCTGGACGAGCCGCTCCTCAAGCACTGGGGTATGCAGTGCCGCGCGTCCCAGACACATACCAGGCCCCGGTCCTTCACTCTCGCATCTCTCTCCGGCACCCCTGACCCCCCACTTTCTCCCCCAGAGCCCCAGCTGCCTAGCCCGCTGCCAGACACCTCAGAGACCCTGGTCTTCACCCTGGGCCTGGCCATCGGCCTGGTGGGCTTCGTTGTGGGCACCGTCCTCATCATCACGGGCACACGGAAGTCCAGCGCCCCCAGGTGCAGAAGGCCGGGGAGTCTGGGCAGCTCAGAACAGGCTGGGATGGAGAATCAGACTCTGGGGGAGGGGAGGGCGACACGGAGGAGCAGTGGGTGGGGAGTGGGAAGCAGAGGCAGGAGGCGGGGTGAGGCTCGGGGAGAGGCGGGTACTCAGGGTCCTAGAATCAGAATAACTTTGTTCGCGTGCCTTCTGCTACTTTAGGTAATGACTCTCCCCAGAGGAACAGCCTGTGGAGGCGCCTCCCGGAGTCCTCAAGGGTTTCAGCAGCCTTGGGCCTTGGAGCCGCAGCCCAGAGTTCCTCCGCCTGCTGATTTGAATGGCATCAACCTCTGTCCCATAGGTGCCCCCCTCTGTGGCCACAGTACTTACGGTAGCATCTGTGGAGGCACGATCAGCTCCCCTTCCCAACACACATATTCTCCACACCTGCACACACACACACACACACACACACACACACACACACGTGCTCATATTCTTGCTCAACCCAAAGCCAGTTTGTTGAGGGGATCCGCACTGTATTCTTTTAAGCAGATCTTGACGGTGCTCCCAGGTGTGAAGGCTGCCAGACCAAGAGAGAGGTCTGGGTGAGGACCGCAGAGATGACCACACGTGGCAGCCACCCTCGGCCAGTCCCGCAGCATCTTCTCTATCGGCTTCGTGTGTTACTCTGTCAGTGAGCCATTTCACAAGGATTTCATGAAATTGGCCCCCTGAATTCAGATTTGTCCTGAAGGGGTGCAGTGTATCATTCCGTGCAACTCCCTCAACCAACAATAGTTCCGAGGGGTATGGGGAGAGCGAGGTTTGAGGGGACCCCACTTTTGTCTGGATGATAAGGCTACTGGGGTCCAGTTATGATCTACAATATCTTCTCCTTTGTCTACATTCCCCAGAGTCCTATGCACGACAAACAGAAGTCCAAGACTGAGATTGGCCGGCTACTTCCTCAATGGGGACAGTCAGATTAGGCAAGGGGAGAGCAGAGTGGGTCTGCAAGGTATCTAGCAAGAAAGGAGGTCTCAGAGAGATTCACCTGGGCACTCTCCAAATGCATGGCTGGGAAGAGCTTCCCAGAAAAAATTCAAGGCACACTATAACCACAGACAACCACATAAAGTAGTTTGTGTCAGGTACCAAATGAGTGACATGCCCTGATACCTGCTGATCTTTTGCTTGAAATCTATCTTCGTGTATCATTTAAAAAGTGCTTCATCTCTGTCCTAAGGCTTAATAAAGTCATTTAAAACGTTTTCTTTTGACCAAAAGAAGTGTGCTTTCTTCACTATGCGAATGTTATCCAGAGGTCGCTGGAACTTATCTTTTAGATTATGTGTCTGCCCTTATGTTCACATGTTTTTCCTTCTAGTCTCAAGGTAAATAGTCCTTCATTTGGAAAAAAAAGAGTTCTCTTCCTTTCATAAGCTGATTCTCTTCATTCTCTTTTAGGATTTTTTTTTTTTCCAGTACCAGGAATTGAACTCACAACCTTGCACTTCCTAGGCAGGTGCTGTGCCGCTGAGCTAAATCCCCAGCCCCTCTCTTTTAGAATAGATGTTCAACAGGTAGCACCTCTCCTATATTCTCAAACTCTCCCTCTTCGCAGGCTCCCTCCTGCGGAAAATGAATCTGTCATCTCTCCCACGTAATGAGAGCATCAAATCCCTCTCTGCCCTGTTGCCCAGCCTCTCAGAGGCAATAACTGCCAACGGCTTAAACAGGCTCTGTTCGTGTTGTGGTGTGAATGTGTTTTATCCCCTGGGGTTCACACTGTAGGAAGCCTGGTCCTAGGTATAATGGTGTGCAGGTGCCTGATCCTAGGTATAATGGTGTGCGGGTATTGGAACATTCAGAGTTGGGGCTAGCGGGAAGTCCTTAGGCCCTTGGGGGTGCACCCTCAAAAGGAGTTACAGCAGTTCTTGTGGGACACACAGTTAGCTCTGTTAGTGTGAATTGTCAGAGTGAACCTGACTTCTGAATTCCTGTGTGGCAGTGTGACCCGTGCTGCTTCTTCCCTGGATCCTTGCCACTGGGATGTCAGCCCAGAGGATGCCGGCACCATGCCCTTGCACCTCTGAAGCTAGGAACTAAACAAACCACTTTTTTCCTCAAAGTAGCCTGCATCGGGTATTTCATTATAGTAATGAAAAATGGACTAAGATAATTGGTATTGAATCTCCTACCTCTAAATATCATATTTTTTTCTTCTTGATGTTTTCACTTTTGTTTTTATATCTTTACTTTCCACTTGGGAAGAGGGAGATGTGGAATTTCTTCCCTCCTCAAAGTACATGCACACTTTCCGTAGCTCCTTCCTTTTACATATTATAATTCTGGTTAAGATAATGTGTACTGTTCATGTTATTATGACCGTATAAGGCAAACCACAAACTACATCAGTTCTTCTTTGCTTAGATTATTTTTTGTTTTCCCTGCAGTTAGGAATTGTCCTTTTTCTCTTTACCTGGTTTTAGATGTACCTTTCATCAATGAATCACAAATTTCTTCACCATACACACGCCTTAGGTGTTCTGTCAATTTCATGATCAGATAAAACTCTTCTGGAACCTTTGAACTGTTCAGGTCTTAACGGGTTACCCTCAGTGACACAGCTGTCATGCTGGGATCCCTCTTCACCGTCCTTGTCAGGATTTACCTGATTTCTGTGTGGAATCTCCTGTTTCTTGCACCCAGTAATTATCCTCTTGTGGTCTGCTGGTTATTTCAACGAGGCAAACCTTTTAGCTGCTTGAGTATGAATGCTTTATGAGGCAAGCTTTTCATGCCTTGCATGTCAGAAAATATATTTATTCTACTCTCAGAGTTGAATGATAGCTTGTATGTGTACAAAACTCAAGTTTGGAAGGCATTTCTCCGTAGTCTCTCGGCTTCATAGCATTACTGTTGACAGCCAAAGTATATCCGGTCCTGAAACTTGGTGTGCCTAGTTCTTTCCCACCCTTCTCTGCAAGCTTGCAGAATATTTCTTTCTTCCTCCTGTTTTAAATTCCTATAGCTGTTCCATTACCTATAGAGTGAAGATTCTTCTCAAATTGTCCCTAATGTGCCCCTTTAACATTGTTATTATTACTATTGGCTTTTTGAGACAGAGTTTTACTATGTAGTTCAGGTGGGTCTTGAGCCTACTGTATAACCCAGGCTGATCTTGAGCTCATAGTGACCCTCCTGCCTCAGCCTCCTGAATGTTGGGATTCTAGGTGTGCACACTATACCTGGTTACTTTAACCTTATTTTTGACAGCTCCTCTGAAGACAGACAATGCTTAAGCCACACAAAACTTCCTACACATGTGTATCCCTGTCTGCCTTTCCACAGTCTATTCTCTATACCAGACCGGCCTTCTCACCAAGCAAGATTCTCCTTGTCCTCCCCAACCCAATTAAACGTCACTTCTGTGAAGCTTCCCCTCTCGCTGTGACTCATACCACATTCTGCCATGTGTCAGGCAGAGTTAGCTGTGTGTGCGTCTGCCTCTAACACTGACTGCTCCTCTAGCACAAGGGAGGCCTGTGTCTTACATTTCTAACACCTGATATAGTCTATCTAATTTGCTCTGCAGCTGGTTTTAATAACACAGGCTGCCGCTGACTGCACACATACGGCATGCCAGGGCTGTGGGAAACGTTTTCATGAGCATTTGCATCTTGATCTGTAAAACCAGACGCACAGTGGGCTGAGTGCAACCAATAGTAAATTTCTTGAAGTCGTCTTAAATTTGACTCAAAACCTGCTCCCCAGCCCCATCGTAAGTTTGGTTTTACGTTCACTCTCAGTCGTTATGGGGGTTTCCCTTTCTTGTAGTCTTGGAGAAGCTCCATGTCTTTCTGCCTCTGTCTGGGCTGGTGACTTCAAGCAGCGGCTCTTAACCCTGGTCCTTTGGCAGTGGCAGCTGGGCTGCGTCTGCACCAGACTTGAGGCAGGGGACTCTTTGGTGACGGGTGATTCCCACTGCCTGCAAAGGTGCACCAAACAGCCTCCTTCCCCCGCCCCCAAAGCCTCCCTTCTGTGTTGGGTGCTGGCGGCGAACGGGGCTCTCCTGGGACCCACAGATCATGATGCCTCTTCAGCCTGGGAGGGCCGCCCCCCCCCACTTCCAAGTCATTTCCCCTCTGTCTCCCAGTATAGTGTCTGGGACTCCTGACATAATGTCAAGTATGCATCAGGCTTTGGGATGGTCAAAGCCAGAAGAAGGGTCTTAAGGTGACATCTCTTACAGGCTTGTATCACAAACCTAAACACAAGGACAGATAAAGTACTATTCCCCCGCAATGTATTGGGTCCTTTCTTACAACCAATCTGCAAGTAGAATTATATAAACATGGAGGAGGAAACTGGGACTCAGAGTTTTTAACTCACCACAGGCCAGACAGCCGGAGCGTGGCGGGAAAGCCTGCCTGATGCTGCGAGGGCCCACGCTATTATCCCTGCACTGTCGCTGCTCATTTTCCCTGCACCATCGTTGCTTGTGCACAAGGGGCAGACATCAGGTTGCCGGGGAAGGTGCATGAGGAGGTTTTACCCCCTTTTGGAAACTAGCGTCTCTTGAGGCTTCAGCAGGAACAGTGAGAAACGGGATTGAAAAGTGAGCAGGTTCGGGAATTACTGCAGAGATTTCACTTCCCAGCATCCCCTGTATCATTCTGTGCTTTCCCCTCATGCACATTTTCTTTCCTGCTTAGAATATGATCTAAACCCCATTCTGGCTAATACGGTTGTCTGGCTCTGAGTATCTCGGCCTCTCTCCCTTCCCTCTTCTTTCTTTCACTAAAGCTACTGCCGCGCTGTCTTTCCCTGGAGGCCTCATGCCCAAGATCTTAACGTTAAGGTTTCCAAGCCACCATCCATTCGCACGGGGAGCCCATTCTGAGCGGCTTCCCTGACCAACTTTGCTAACCGAACTTCCCACTTCTGAGAGGGCTCTCCTGCAAGTCGCCCTGCTTATCTTTGTGGGCAGATGCCTCTCCTTGGAAGGGGCCCTGCTCCCCAGGCTTTGTTTGCTCTCCGACCTCCTGGAGGCCTTCTGGGGAAATGATCATGCATCTGGAGGAGCAGAGGCATTTCCTGTCCTCCCTTCTCTCCACGATCTAGACCATCGCTGTGGAGGTGCTGTGGCTTGGCTCCCTCTTGTGAGTGAGTCCACTTTATATGGAGACTCCAGGTTGGAACAAGCAATCGCGAAAGAAGAGGACTGACTCTCTGCCCTCTGGGACTCGTGCGGCCTCCTTGTCCCTGGGGCGGCCGCACCACTCCCCAGCCCTGGTTAGATTCCCGGTTGCACTCTCCTTCTTCCCTTCAGCCTTGAACATACGGACCTGCTTCTTACCATAATGCCTGGACATGTCCAAATAGAGAAAAATAAATTTAAAATTTTCTGCTGTTGCTATTAACATTACTGTCTTATTATTCCTATTATCTTTCATTGCCGAGCACTAATGTAACCACTTTACCTTTGGCAAACTTCGTAATCTGCTGTCACTAAGTACACGTGGTGTTTAATTGCTCCCGCAAACCTGGCTGTTCACAAGAGTGTTAATAATTTTATTAAAGAAAAGTCAGTGCCGGTAATATTTTCCTTCTAAAATATATTATTTTAATATGTATAAGAGAACGCCAAACATTCATGTATCTGTACCCTTATAGCACAGCAGTGTGCTTTCTGAAATGATACACTATTATTTGCAATAGCAAAGGTCAGAAAAATGTCAATAGGAGTAGAATGGCAGCAGAAACTATGGTACATCCTGTGGAAGAAGGCACAGCTGATAGAGACAATAGAGAATCTCTTTGAACTGATACGGAGAAATCGCTAGGATACAGTGGCAAACACAAAATGCAAAAGAATGTCTACAGTATGTGATACTTTTGGGATACACACACACACTCGTATTTTTTTTGCATAAAGTCAGATTAGTAGAATAGGCCAGAAATTAGTAAAAATGGCTACTTATGGGGGAAGAGAGAATAGAGGAGGGAGAATGGGTCTGAGGGAATAGGGATAAAAGTGAATCTTGACATCTGATACACAAATGCTTTACTATTTTTATAATTAAGCAAACCCCCCTAAAATGTGAAACAAATGTAAACAACTGTGCACACAGAAAGAGAATTTTTTGACTAACCAGAAGGCAACATTTTGTACCATTTCCACTAAAAGACAGAGTTCCTTGGCGAGGTGGTGGACTCTAAGTCTGGGTCAGTGAGAATACGAAGCGGGTCTGGGTATCTTACTGTTCT